ACGACAAAATGTTGAACTTTATACCATATTCTGGCATTCTTTCAGCAAAGAAAGATATATTTGTTGCCTTACTCTGTGGCAGGTTTGTTATATCTGTTGCATTACTCTTCTCCTTATATTGGATTATGAAGTTAAGTAAAAACATATATTCACACACCTTACTTCCGAGTGAGCACTAACATGGCAAAAACTGTTTACACTAACAAGTTCTCCAGAGATAATAATATCTGGCACATTTTCAGTTTCCAGTTTGGTTCAAATCCAATTTAAATTCAAGGAGAATTCAGAGGTGAACAGACTATTGACATGTTGCAACACACATCTTAGGTTTAAACTCATGGAAAAAGACATGGATAAGACAATGGTGAGTTTCTTCATCTGTTCTTTCTCAAGTCCTTTCATTCATCACCCTCATTTGCCACCCCTTCTGTAATCCTTTTATCCACAACTATCCCTTGCATGCAGTAATGACCAGGATTCCAACAAACCTTTCATACCTTTGACCATGCCTTCATAAGCAATGGACACGTGTCATAGTTATGTAATCCTTCTGGTCTCTCATTTCTTTCCATCATGGGGATTCTGGCTTAAACCATTGCTTTTGAACCAGGGAGCACCAGCTTGATGCCAACTAATAACTGTGACATATTATCCTGGTTTGTTAACCACCATTCAGCCCCAATTTTCTGCTTCATATGTGACAGGGAACTCAGCCTAATGCAAACCTCAGACTGCACTGAAAATGGCATGTGGCAGCAAGTGTGAAAGGGAGGGATGAGGGAGAGAAGTATGTTACAACATTTATCATCGGCTTCATAAAATATGATTTATAGAGCAGGGATTAACATGCAAAGTGAGCACATGGACTACAGAGAAAATTGGAGGATGCAACAGATGTAAGAAACAGGCAAAGGAAGCCACAGCTATCTCATCTCTCACTTCTTTGGTACTATCTGAGCTATGACACAAATCTCCATGATGCAACCTGGCCACGCTGCTTAAAAGAGCGCCAAATACCATAGGCAAAAACTTGGTTCCTAAATCGGATTCACCACCTCACTGACATCAGAGCCACCAACTGCTACTGCTTACCATGCAAATAACAGCAGGATCATTTGTTATTACTAGCAAATTAAATTCATGGTTCTGTACAAAAATCCATGAATAATATCACAAGATTGTCAGAAAAACCCAGAGGTTCTGGAACTATGTAGAATTCTTTGTTTTTGTACATAAGGAATTTTATTTCAAAATCAGATCTTGATTGTGTGAAAAAGTTACAGCTCTCCCGCCTTCAACACCCATACCTGATCTTCTGCTTTTAACAGTAGCTTGATGTGCACAAAAGTTACCTGGCTTGGAAGTAAGTGGGAGAAAGGCTCACATGCTAATTTTATGTCTATCTGGCAAATGTTAAAGGCAGAGGAGAAGGACCAGTATTAGTATGATTGTTGTTGTTGTTTTGTACTTTCAATTGGTTTCTTTCTTATGGTGACCCTATCATGGAGTATTCTTGGCAAGATTTGTTCAGAGGGGGTTTGCCTTGCCTTTCCTCTAAGACTGAGAGAGTATGACTTGCCCAAGTTCATCCAGTGGGTTTCCATGGTCAAGCAGGGATTTGAACCCTAGTTCCCAGAGTTGTAGTCCAGCATTCAAACCACTACACCACACTGATCCTTTTGTTAATGTGATAGCCCTATTCAAACAAGCAGATAGTTTCAATATATTGAGATCTAAGATAAAACTTTTATAAAGGATATGTTTTACTTCATACACACTGAATAGTCTTAGGTGCCTGAAGCGTATCTGCTGTAAAAATAGAAAGAATCCATAAAAAGGAGCACCTAGTTAATGTCCTTAATTAGAAGCCTGAAAGTTATCACTAGTGACATAGAACATGGACTCCTGAATGAATACCGAGGCCATAAATCAATAGGAAGCCTTTGCCTACTACTAATGAAATGTTCCAGTTGTGCCCTTCTAAGGATTATGAAGTCAACAAAACTCTTGATTTGGACCACAGATTTGCCTTCACTCCAGAGCCATACATTAGTCTTGAAGAGCAGACAGTGTTACATTGCTCCAAGCAAAGAAAGCCTCTGAGCTGAAAATAAAGTTGTGATGTCAATAGAAGGGGAAGGAAGTGTAAGAAATGCATCACAAATGTAAAAAAAAAACCAATTCATGGTTGAACGTATTCCAAAGAGAGGAAAACTGATCTGAGACCTCATATGAATGGAGGAAATGAGGCACTAGGGGAAAGTGATGTAATGATTCTAGGCAATATAGGACATTGACCAAAGAATAGCTGCTGGAAAGGTAATAATGACAGGAGGAGTTACTTGCTTTAGGACAGGATTTGGAGTTGAGACTGCCATGGTTGCCTTG